CTGGGCAAGGTTGTTCTGCCTTGTGATAATTTTGCACCAAGGCTTGAACAGCGATGGGTAGAACTTCCCATCGCTGTTTGGCATGGTTCTGGAAATTGGTTTGGCTAAGGGACCGCTTACCCATCGATGGGAAGATCTTCCCATCGCTGGGTGGGTGGTTAGTCAAGAACCCATGGTTTTTGCCTTAACCACGGCCTAGCCAACCGATGCAAAAACCGACCGAAAATTCCAAAGTTCTCCAAAATAAAAACAAAGTGTTTAAAACACTTATTTGATGTATTTGGCTAAGAAATCAAGTAAGACACTTTAAAACCCACGTCATTTGAGTGAAAACCACGGCTAGCCAAGTTTATGCCGTTTTGAATGATTTTTGTCAAACGACCAAAAGCGAAAGATGGTTTTCAAGGTGTTTTTGTTAGAGAACCGTTTAAACAAGCCAAATAGTGAAAACCAATCATAAAAAGTTGAAAACCACTTGGTTGGTTTGGACGCCAAAAACCAATGCCGATAACTGAAAGCCGAACGCCGATTTCTGAAACCCGAACGCTGGATGGCTTGGTTTTTGGTTTGGTCGAACACCAAGTGTTTTTAATGACTTAAACAAGTTTGAAAAACATTTTTATGATGTAAGAAATGCAATGAAAGATTTTAGCCTAAAGAGCCAATGCGTGAGGGTTGGGTCGGTCTTGATTACAATTAAAACCGACTCAACAATACTAAAGACTGCGGTCTTCGTTCTTGGTCTCTTTTAGCTCTTGTTCTTTATCTTCGTTCTTCACCTTGTATATTCAATGTTTGTCTTGATCATGGCGGTTTGGCATTATCAAAACCTGTTACAAAAATGAACACGGCTTTAGTACGAAGACGTGACATGTGCGTGTTTCAACAGAGTGTTGTTCTTAAGACTTGTGTGACTCAAGTCTTGGTGTTGTAAGAAAGTGAGGCTTGTGTGATTCAAGTTCTCAAGTTGTGCCGGTTTTTCAAGCACCCGTTGAAGCTTGAAGATTAGTAGGACTTTCGAGAGAGTCTCTCGGAGGACTGGACTAGCCACGAGGTGGTGAACCAGTATAAATCTCGGTGTTCTTCTTTCCCTTACTCTTTTTATTTATTCCTGCGATTTTTATTTCACACACACGCGAAAAACGCACAGTCTTGAAAACAACTCTATTCACCCCCCCTCTAGAGTTGCACTTTTGTCTAACAAAGTTGGCCTCTAGGCTCACTAATATTCAACAATCTCCAACTATCACTAAAGCCAATTATGCATTACAAAAATGCCCATGCACAAAGTGTGACCCTCGGGTCTAGGTTTTTGCAAAGCCTAGGTCAATGGATTTATAGATTGTCATCTATTTCTATTTTGCAAATCTGTGCATAATATAATCTAAGTGACTTTTTCTGACGTCTTATTTAGTCTTGGTGAGACCGTGGTTCATTAGCATGTGATAATCCATCATTGTCATTACAGCGGATGGTATCTTCATACTAAGAACACTATTACGCTCATAGCTCTCGATCCAAAAACCTTGCAAAGTTGCTTCAAAAGCTTCTATGTACTATGCTTCTGTAGTTGAACTTTGGTAGTGTCATCAAGCTCTTTTAGCTTACTCTACTACTATTCAAAATATGTAACCTTTCTGCAATGTGTATATTATACATATGTGGAAATTACACAAGATGATTTCTTCATTTCATATAGCACCATCATTGGGTGGTATCTCATAATAGCTTAAGGAAACTCCTTTTGCTATGTAGTGACAGTCACTGACTAAGCACGTTATCTACTCATAACATTTGGAGTAGAATATTTTTGGTCTTTATTATGATATGATAGGTGCAATGGTAGTTGCATAATGAACGATTCTTATGCGTTCCCTACGTTGAGGTATATCAAGTCTTCGAAAGACTTAGACCTTTGGATTAAGGGGTAAGTATTTAGATCAACAACATTGAATCTACAAATAACTTGCCCTTAAATATAGCCCTAGTAACTCCATTTAATTGTTGGAAAAAATTATAGATTTTGATGATGATGTATTTAGATTGTAATAGGGACTTTAGGTCACCCCCAATATTCAATGTAATTTTCTTTTTAGAAATATTGTTAAAAATGAGTTCTTGAGATTTTCAATAAAACTTGTGATATTTCACTTTGTGGTTTGATGTTACTCTTTGAAGACTTAACAAATCCAGTGATACGGAAATTGGAATTCTTGCTCGGAAATGTCAGAGACAAGTAATGAATTCTCAAAGAAGTTGTTTACTTTGAAATTCTCAAATCCGGAATGCTCTATGATACCCGAAAGTCTTGCTACAACCCGCTGAAGGCTAAGTCATCCGAATCGGAAGACTAGCACAGATCTCTAACTCACCCGGAAGTCTAGGAATGACTAATCTGGAACTGTCAGCTAAGAACCGGATGTCTCAAAGAAAAACGGAACTGTTAGAAGCAGACAAGTGAGAAAAGACTTAGAATTTATCTAAGTCATGAATGAAGAAATTCTACCCGTTGGTAAGGAAAAATCAATTTCTTGATTTTCAACGGCTAGATTGAGGATAATTAAGCCGAGTTAAGAACAAATGACATAAATACAAAGTCTGAACTTCTCAAATTGAAGAGCTCGCCTTGAATTCCTAAACAAACACAAGAAGACAAAATGGGGTACTCCACTGAATAAAGAGCTACCGTCCAAAATTCTTGAACAACAGCTAGAGGACAGATTCTGTGAAAAAGGAATCCTTCTTCAAACAATTGGGTATGTCCAAACACCCATTCCAAAGAAGAATCCTCAATCTCACTCTTCGTTTAAAAGTGAAGCCAGCAAATGCAACGGATAGTCTATTCCCTTCAACGGATAGATTATCCATCCAGCCTATATATAGCTCTCATGGAAGACTGAAGAAAAAACAATAGCAACAACCAAGAGAACAAGTGCAACAATAGCGAACAACTCACAAAGCTATCTCATTCACAGTTAGCCAAAAGCTTGATAAAGAGAGATTTCTAAACTCCTTATCCAGAAGCAAACTCCTCCTTCTTCCAAAGAGCTATAGTGTAAACACTTGAAGGTTTCCTTGCCTCAAGTACCATACCACGTTGAAGGATACAACTTTTAATCAAACTTCTTGATTAAAACGGGGCACATCAACTTTTTTTTACAAGTTGATCTTCCAAGTCCTATTGTTCGGACCTTGCAGTTGTTGAAGAAGCGTGACCTTCGAAGGAACAACAAAGCCAACACGAGTGCAGTAGCAATATTGGGCTTGCGAAGATATACCGTGTAGAAATTCACAAAAGTGTAATTGTTGGTTCATTATTCAACAACCAACTACATAGTGGATTTTGAGGACGTAGAAGGATTACCCCACCTTTGAACCTCGTTAAAGTTTGCGTGTTTCTCTCTTTTATCTTTACTTATATTTGCACTCATATTAACTTTGAAACTAACCCATCCATATTGATTACTGCTCCAATAACCCACCAACTTCCGCACACAATCTAAGTTCACAAGAACTCTAGATTAACACTCATTTTCACGTTTTCAAAAGAAACGAAAAAGTTTTTTAATTTGTAAGAAAGTCTATTCACCCCCCTCTAGACTTTGTATCTCACCACTTAAGGGACCACCAATTGGTATCGGAGAAAACTTCTCACTATCTACATTTAGATTAAAGAGAAGCGATCATAATGGTGAACAATATGGATACGGGTTTGCCCAAGTTTTCTCTTCTAGGTTATGATGATTGGAAGATCATGATGGAAGCACATCTATACGCCCTGCATGATTGCATGTGGATGGTGCTTGAAGATGGACCTCTGAAGATTCAAATGGAGAATCCAGAGAGGGATCCAACCAACCCTGATGTAGTCTGGTACATTCCAAAACCCAAAGAGAAATTGGATGATAGAGATTGCAAAAAGCACAATCCGGACAACGTCGCCAAAGCAGTCATCTTCAAGACACTTGATCCCATCTCCTTTTCCAAAATCAAGAATCTCAGAACCGCCATGGAAATATGGCAAGGTCTTGGGAAGCTGTGTGAGGGATCAAAGGATCTGAGAAAGCAAAAGATAGAGGTTCTGCATGAAAAGTTCAAAAGCTTCAAAATGCTTCCCGGAGAATCATTTGTCTTGCTGGATGAAAGATTCCACATGATTCTAAATGATCTTGCATCACTTAACCACGTTCTTTCTCCCAAAGGAAAGAACGTAATGTTGCTGAGATCTCTTCCGGATGAGTGGTACACCAAAGCCACAGCAATGGAAGAAGGAAGAAATCTAGAGAACTACACTGTCCAAGGTCTCCTAGACGAGCTCAGAACCTATGAGCACGAGCTGGAGAAAAAGAAGAAGGAAGAACAAGTCATCCCTTTTCCCACGGCACTGATGACAAATCCTAGAGTCTCAGCAAGCGAAGGGACATGCCCAAGGAGTTGTGACACTCCTTCCAACAGCTAGCAACCAAGCTCAAAGGCGAAGAACTACGAGGAGGAATTTGCAATGATGGTCAAGCAATTCTGGAAGTTCAAGAAGTTCTTCAAGAAAACTAACTCAGTCAGAAGGCCATCCAAGGGAAAGCTACATGTAAGTAACTCTCCCCCCGAATCTTATCTGTTTTATAACTGCAGGAAGCCTGGCCACTGGAAGTCAGCTTGTCCGTATCCAAAAGTGGAGAAGTACGGAGAAGGAGAAAGGAACGAGAAGAAGAAAAAGGCAATGGTAGCAGCTGAGAGTGACGAGTCATCCCGTTCAAGCTCGGATGAAGAAGCCCTCGTCTGCATGGAGCAGAGAGCTGAGAAGTCCAAGCATGAAGATCGGGAGATAATGTCAGAAGGTGACACTCTCTGTCTAATGGCCAAAGATGATGCTGATCAAGAGGTAACCTCACAAGCCTCCTGCTCATCTTCTTATGAAAGCATACCAACTTCTGAAAATCTTTTTGACAAGTTCAAAAAGATGATGGAAGACTTTGAGGAAATTAATCTCAAACACTCATCCTTAACAGAGGAGAACAAGCTAGTGAGTGAAGAGAATCTCAAGTTGACTGAAGGTTGGAAAAGTCAACTAAGTGAGATCACTCAACTCAAGGCTGAAAATGAATCTCTCTCTAAAAAGGTGAAAACTCTCAATAAGGAGCTAGGGATACTGAAGTCCAAAGAAGCTGTGGATAAGCTTCTTGAAACGACCAAAAAAAGGGTCGTGAAGGACTTAGGTTTGACCCCTCCAGTTCCAAAAGGAAAGGGAGAACAACATTTATTCCTCCCAAACCTACTGCGAAACCCATTAAGCAGAAAGGTAAAGAGAAGGAAAAACCAACAGAAGTTCCAAAAAAGGTTGTCCCTGAAAGGTAACCATGCAAGGATAGGCGCGGAATATAAAATTTTTAACATCCTAACATGATTATCTTGCCCAGAATCACGTACTAAAACTTATAGTGAGTAAGAAATTTATACCTTTCTCCATAAGCGGTAAAAATGAAGAAGTCGTAGGAAGAGCGTTGAAAGTGCAAACGTAACCGTTCAAGCGTCCGGTCTCCAACTTTGACACACGAAAAACGCCAGAGTCTACCACAATCTTTATGCTAGTAAAGATTATAGTAGTATAAAATATAAAGAATAAAATTGGGATAATAATAATCTTGTATATTTCTTATAGAAAATATTTCTAATAATATTTAGAAAATATTATGAATATTTTCTATACACAAAATGATATTAATAGAACACAAAGTATTTTCTCTCACTAAAAATGTAATGGCCGAAACTTAAAACAAATTGATGATCTCTCCTTCTCTTTGCTAATGGTGCGTGAGGTGTATATTTAAAACAAAGATGTGATTAATTTTGTCATTAGCTAAATGACAAATAGTTACCCCACTCAAAATTCAATCAAAGAAAGTTTTGATTCTCCTCAATCCAAAATGGCATAAAAATCATTCTGATTGTGAGAAGGATTTTCAAAATTCTTCTCCACTTAAATGTTCAAAGTGTATTTTATTTCACACCAAAAATTAATATAAAATTATTTTTTAAATCAAATAAAAATACCAATATGATTTTAAACAAGTATACAAATATACTTTAAATAGTTTATGTCAAATTAATTATTTTCATAATTAAAATGACAAACCAAAATAAAATATTCAACATATAATATATATATATATATATATATATATATATATATATATATATATGAAGATCTTCCTGAATATTGCCCCTCCTGTAAATCTTTTGGACATAAAAAATGCAAAAAGGCCACAAAATCCTCTAGATGGGTGTTGAAGGACACGCCAGGGACTGGGAATACAGCTCCTGCTGTAGCCGTCCTTCCGTTGCAAACGGTGGACACCACTTTGAGACTTGTGGCAAAACAACTTGATGGTCAGAATCAGGATGGTCCAGATGAAAATGCTTCCACTGCTGTAGAAACAAATACTTCTGCCCAGGCTGAAACAAATCTGTTTCAATATGATCCAAAACGTGAGGCTAAGGAACTGGAACAGATACTAGAACCTGGAGCTGAAACCTATGTTTTTGAACATGAGGCACAATCTGCTATTGACTCGGATACAAATTTGGAAAAAGTTGAAGCTTTGGCAACCACCATTGTTAATGGTAGGAATGCTAAGATTCCTAAGCTAGCTGACAGTGCTGAAGACAAAGCAGTGATGATGGTAGAGATTGAACAAATCTGTGTTGGTGAGGATGCTTTGGAGAACAACCAAACTCCAACTAACACCGACCCTAATTCTGAGATTGAACAAAGCTGTGAGCCAGACAAACTGTCTCCCAAGACAGATTTGGAAGGCACACAGTACGAAGAGGAATTCCCTCCCCTCTCTAAAGAGTCCTTAACTGCAACCACGGATGATTTTCCATCCCAAAAATTTAACAGTGATGCGCACACTCTTTCCTTCGAGAAATAGATGGATGGCACACTATCCCCTACTATCATTGGAGATGATGAAACTATTTCTGATCCTTCTCTTAGAAAAAAATTTTTCCCACCAGTAACTAACATTGCAGGTAATGACCAAACTACTACTGGCCCTATTCTTCACTCTTTTGAGGTGGATGGACAGCACTATGAAATCAGGTCCTATGAAGAAGCGGAGACAAGCAACCTAAGGGAGGAACCTAACGACTTCCAAGATGTCCAGAACAAACGCAACAAAAAAGCGGGGAAGAGAGGAACTGCACCAAGGACGATTAAAACTAGAAGCTACGATCCAAATCTTGAAGTTGGAACAGTAAGCGAGATCACTAGATACTGGCCCAGCTGCAAATCAACCACAATAGAGAAAATCGTCACTACCAAAAGTTATTCTGGGCCCTTTTGGTATGTTGGACCTGTCGGCCCAATTGGGGCAGATGGGAAAAGGCCAAAGAAAATAATGCCCAGAAACCTTGCCTTGGATCAACACCCGGGTTTTATAATTTGGGAATGACCATCTATAGTTCTTTCGATTCACTTTTCATTTGTACCTTTTCTTTTCTTTTTTTCTTATTTGAATAAAAATTTCGTTTAATAATATATATATATATATATATATATATATATATATATATATTAAGAAGAAGAAATGATTTTATTAATGAAAACAAAACGAAGGTACAATTTCTTGAGCAAGTACAGCTCTAACTCTAGTAGGACAAGAACTAAGATAATGATAGATAATAAAAGAATCAGACTTGTGCCTATCCTCCTTTGCTAAAACATCAGCCAGGTGATTTCCTTCCCGAAGCACATGTGAAATCCAAACTCCATTGTCAGAGATAAGGCGTGAGAGAATGTCAATAGGGAAAGGAGTGGCAGCAAGGTGAGTAGATTTAGAGATCCTCTGAATCACCTCCAAAGCATCCGTTTCAAAAATGATTTCTTTTTAAAAAGAAAACGCCCATATAATAGCTTGAATTGCTGCAAGAACCTCAGCTTGGAAGGAAGAGTTGCATGAGAGATGAAATGAAGCTGCACAGACAAACGAACCCTCTTCATTGCGTAGTATACCAGCTCCTCTTTGGCAGTTGGGTGTAAAAGAGGCATCAACATTAAGCTTAAGCCTACCCTTTGGTGGTGCAAGCCATTTAACAATACGCACTTTAGCCTCCGTTTTGAAAATAGGTAAAAGATGCATATTGGTGAGCCACACATCCTTAACCCGAAGCTTCTTTGGAGCTTTGATGTCAACCCATTGATAGATATAACGAGAGATAGTATTAATCAAACCATCAGTGCTAAGCTTAGAAATCTCACCATGGATGATAGCATTCAGGTGCTTCCAAATATGCCAACAAATGATGGATGGTGTGTGTTTCCTAAGAAAGCCATGGATGGTGTTATTACCCCTTAGCCACCAGTTCATGAAGTGCTGATTGACTGAAGAAGAATGGAGATGAGGGAAGCCAAAGCACATAGAAAAATGTCTCCAAACAATGCCAATCTCAGGACAGTCTACAAGGGTGTGTTTAATAGTAAAAGAAGATGTGTTGCAAAAAGAGCACATAGAAGGCAGTTGGAAACCCAGTTTCTGCAGATTTTCAGGTGTAGGAAGACAACCATTAAGTAACTTCCACATAAAGATGCTAATTTTGGGGTTTTGAGGAGACTCCCAAATCAATTTGAAGGACAGAGCAGGATTAGCCGCAGCCCTACAGTAAGCATATGCAGATTTGAGAGTAAAACTTCCTTGAGGATCAATAAGATGGGATACCATATCACCATGTCTCCAATATTTAGCTCTCATGAACCTGCTCCAAAGACAGTTTGATTGATTAACCTTCCACCAAAGTTTGCAAGAGTATGCTTGCTCCAGGGATTTGAGATCTCTAATCCCAAGGCCACCCTCCTCCTTTGGTAAACATAACCTCTCCCATCGAATCCAATGATGCTTGTTGGCATTACCACCCCACCAGAAACGAGCCATCTTTTGCCCCAAAATATGGCCTATGGATTTAGGCAAAGTGCTAGCAGCAAGAAAATAGTTAGGGATGGTATTGAGGACATGGTTAATAAGAATCAACCTACCCGCTGCGTCCAGATTACGTTGAAACCATCCATTAAGTTTCTTATCAAAGGAATGGATAATATGAGCACAATGAACACTCCTAGTGATTCCAAGATCAATTGGAACTCCAAGCCTTAAAAGGCATATTAAGCGCCTGTTGCAGTTTGTTAATCAGTATAATGTTAGCCTTCTTCCCAACCACAAAGCTGCTTTTTTGGTAGTTAATAGTCTGCCCAGAAACCAGTTGGTAGTCCTCCAGGAATCTTCTCAAATTCAAGATGGATCTGGCATGCCCAGAGGAGAAGATAATAATATCATCAGAATAAGAGAGGTGAGTAATAGGTATGCTTTTAGTACCACAATTGAAGTGGCCAATTCTGCCCAGTGAGAAGAGCTTCTTGAGGTTCCTTGAGAAGCCTTCATTAGAAATTATAAAAAGAAGGGGAGAAAGTGGGTCGCGTTGCTTAATGCCTCTGGATTGGCCAAAATAACCACATGGTTTTCCATTAAATAAAACAGAATACTTAGAAGAGCTAAGCAGATTTTTAACCATGTTAATGAACTGTGCACAGAAGCCAAACTGTTGGAGAATGTCAAACAAATACGACCATTTCAGTTTATCAAACGCTTTAGCCATATCAAGCTTGATGATAAGATTACCTCCATTGGCTTTTCTGTTGATGTGATGAACCATCTCCTTGGTAATTAAAATTTGATCAAGAATTTCCCTACCAGGTACATAGGCACCCTGCTCTTCTAAAATAATTAGGGGCAGGAGGGTACCCAGCCTCTTGAGTATTTGAGCATTCTCCACTTTAGGCAAAAGGCAAATATTGGAACTGGCAGCTGCAGGAGGAAGAGGAATACCCAAAAAGACTTCTTGGCAAGCTGAGGTGACATCCCTCTTAACAAAATCCCAACATGCTTTGAAGAACCTGCAGTTGAAACCATCTGGACCTGCTGCAGAGTCACTATCCATCTCCCAAAGAATGTTTCTAATCTCTTCTTCTTCTGGAAGTCTCATAAGCAAATCATTATGTTCAGGAAAAAGAAGAGGAGGGATGGCATTTAAGAAACTTTCATAGACATCCTGGGAGGGCATTGGTTCATGAGAATTGAAAAGATTCTTATAATGCTCCACCACCATGGCCTCAAGAGAGGCAGTGTGTTCAATAGTGTGGCCTTGGTCATTAGTCAGAGTGGTAATTCTTTGCTTTCTTCTCTTCTCCTTCACAAGGTTATGGAAAAATTTAGTATTGGCATCTCCATCTTGAAGCCATTTAACATTACATTTTTGCCTCCAAAAGGCATGTTCTCTTTTGGAAATAACAACCAGTTCATCCTGCTTAAGATTGCAAAGGGTTCTATGTTCTGGAGAAGGATCAGCCTCATAAAGCATCTCAGCCCTAGCTGCATCCTCCTCAGCTTCTTTCATCATATCAAAAAGGTTACCAAAATGCTCGTTATTCCAAGAGGACAGTTTACCTTTAAGATGATGTAGCCTATTAAAGAGGCTAAGCATACCACCATGAAAAGGAATTTCCTCCCAACACCTCCTGCAGAACTGCATGAAATCATCTCGCAAAAGCCACATGTTTTGGAAACGAAAAGATTTTGAGGTTTGACCAGGCTCAATTTTTGAGGTGAACAAAATAGGGCAGTGATCACTACCACACTTGGGCAAATGTTTCATTGAATGAATAGGCCAAGAAGAATCCCAAACGTGATTAAAGAATACCCTATCCAGACGCCTCCAAATAAGATCATTACTCCTAGAGCCATGCCAAGTGAAAAAGGGACCAGAAGGACTGACATCAAGCAGCTCACAATCTCTTATACAATATATATAATCGAATATTTATATATATATATATATAATATTACATTCAAAATATTTTATTTTACTATTTTTACAAATATACAAATATACAAATTACTTATTATCCCATTGTTTAACCCTACTCCTTAAATTGTCCAAAGTGTGTGACCCGTATAGGCACTTATAAAGCTGGCCACAGTATTGGCTCTGCACCAATACTATAAGCAATAAGCGGTATCAAGCAACACATTATTGCCCCCAGATTATAAGTTAAGACGTTTGCAGCGTCAAAACCTTTCCACGACTCAGACTCCGTGTAACTATATCCCTTTGTCTCAATGTCTAAACTTAATGCAAGGGATTAATAAAATGCAACTTGTATCCATTAAGTCATTCACTGATTTATAAAGTCTGAGTAATAGGAACAGACGTCATAAAAGCATCTCAGCATGGCCATGCAATTTCCTTACTCATAACTTATCAGTGGGCCCCATAAGACATTAATATCTTTAAAAAGAGTAGTGACAAATCCTATGTACGTAATCTACGTTTCTGAATACGCGCTGCGGCATACCCAAAACAAAGCTTGTATACCATCCTTATTTCATATGGCTTAGGACGATACATCAAAGTATGCGGGTTCACATATGCAGAAAACGTAATACTTCAAGTCGAAGGATAGTTACACTCGTGGTCGTGCTAAAGATGCATAGAGCATGAACTAAAAGTTCAAGCAACATCTTTAGGATGGGTCAGTCCGCCATCCTATTATCTCCAGATAATATCTACCCATGTGCGGATGCGAACACACCGTCATTGACTATGAGACTAAGTCAAACATTCAACACACTAGTCTCACATGCATTAACGATATCCCACTCTCGTTAATACTCGACTATGGACATTCAGATAAATATTTATTTCAAGATGTTAGTTTCATCAGCTGAATAACACTATCTGGTAAACAACTTTAAATATAAATCTAGGAATATAATATTTGTTTACATTAGAATGAGATGTGTAAACATATTATATCTGCCTATACATGATAGAATAATGATAAACAGTTGGCCATCAGGGCACAACTCCAACAATCTCCCACTTGCACTATGGCCAATCTGGCATCGGTCGAATGCCCATGGACCTAGTGTGACCCTCATGCTTTAGCTTTCCTAAAGGCTTGGTCAAGGGATCGGCTATGTTGTCGTCAGTATCTACTTTGCAAATAATCACATCTTCTCTGTCTACGATTTCTCGTATGATGTGATAGCGTCGTACAATATGTTTGGTTTTCTGGTGAGATTGCGGTTCAATTCCTTTGCCTGTGCAATGGCCCCAGTGTTGTCGCAAAACAACGATATAGGGTCATTAATACTAGGAACCACTCAGCCTCTGTAGTCGAACCGGCGGTTGTATCCTCCTTGAAGCTCTTCCAGCTAAAAGCCCCGCCATTCAGGCAAAACAAATATCCTGCTTGTGATTTTGAATCGTCTCTATCGGTTTGGAAGCTAGCATCACTGTAACCGACCACCTTTAGCTCTTTCTCACCATTGTATACCAGGAATGCATCCTTAGTATTGCAAAGATACTTGAGGATGTTCTTGACCGCTGGCCAGTGTGCTTCTCCTGGACTTCCCTGGTATCTGCTGGTCACGCTTAAAGCGAATGAGACATCAGGTCTAGTACATATAATGGCGTACATGATGGATCCAATCGCAGAAGCATATGGAACCTTCATTATGAGTTCCTTCTGCTCGGGAGTAAAAGGACTCTGGCTCTTGGAAAGAACCGTGCATAGGTAAAGATCCTTTCTTTGAGTTAGACATGCTAAATCAATCAAGGATTTTATCTATATATGTACTTTGATTCAAACCTATTAACTTTCTTGATCTATCTCGGTAGATTCTTATGCCAAGGACATAACTAGCATCCCCTAAGTCTTTCATGGAGAAGTTCTCGCTCAACCACGTCTTTACAGCAGTGAGAGCGGGAATATCGTTACCCATTAACAATATGTCATTGACATATAAGATTAGGAATACTATTACACTCCCACTGACCTTCTTGTATACACAAGATTCGTCAGAGTTCTTCTCGAAACCAAAACTGGAAATGGTTTCATCAAAACGTATGTACCAACTCCGAGATGCTTGTTTCAATCCGTAGATTGAACGTTGCAGTATACAAACTTTGGCAGACTGACCAGCAATTTGAAAACCGTCACGCTGTGTCATGAAGACATCCTCTTTGAGGTTCTCGTTAAGGAAAGCCGTCTTGACGTCCATCTTCCAAATTTCGTAATCGTTATAGGCTGCAATCGCAATCATTATCCGAACGGATTTTAGCATAACAATTGGAGAAAAGGTTTCATCATAGTCAATTCCGTAGATTTGCCTATAACCTTTTGCTACCAATCGAGCTTTGAAGGTATGAACCTTCCCGTCTACGTTTGTCTTCTTTTTGAAGACCCACTTGCATGCAATGGGTTTTACCCCTTCAGGCACATCAACCAAGGTCCAGACTTGGTTTGTGTACATAGACTCCATTTCAGATTTCATGGCTTCGAGCCATAGATCATATTCGGGGCATGTAATTGCCTCGAGATAGGTCTCTAGTTTTGTTAGAATAATAGACCAACGCTAGAGGGGGGGGTGAATAGCGTTTGATCAAGAAATCGCAGGAATAAAAATGAATAAACGAGTAGTAAAGAGAAAAGAAAGAGGCACACCGATTTTACCCTGGTTCACCACAACTTGTGGCTAATCCAGCCTCCCGAGAGACTCTCTCGAGCTACACTACTATCTTGTTAAGCTTAACGGTGCTTAACAAACCCGTACAACTTGAGAATTCGAGTCACACGAACCTCAACGAACCTTCGAAGGAAACAACCCTTCCTTCGAACAACAAGAGAAATACCTTCTCTTGTCAAGTGTCTAAGAAAACTAAAAACACTCAAGAACAATACTCTCTTTTAGAGTGGATATTGAGTAAACTAAGAACGCTCAAAAACACAACACAAGCTTCACAAAAATGGCTCTCAAAAGCTATGAATAATTGAAGAATGATTTGCAATGAAAGAGTAGGAGTTGTGAAGTAATGTGATGTGTAAAACAGACCCAAACTGGGGTAAAATATCATCTTTTTATCCGAGGTTGCCTGGTTTCATAAATTCCCCACTAACCGTGTTAAACACCCTAAACTATTTTAAACCTAGACGACTTTTAGTGGGTCTGTCGCGACAGGATCCGGACCTGTAGCGACAAGATCCGAACGCCAAACAAAAATGGGAAGCAACGGTCATGCCAACAGCGATGTCTAAAACCCTACATCGCTGTTTTGGCTGTTGACTTCCAAACAAGGAAAGTTTTAGCCTTAAATTCCTTCCAACGGTCAGGTCTCTACATCGATGTTCTATACTAGAACATCGCTGTTTAGGTCTGCCTTTGAAGATGGAAGTTTGGCCTGACAACGCTGTTGCTGGGTCAACATCGCTGTCCAAAAACTTTCTGCCAATGCACTATATTTTTGGCTTAGGTTGGACAGCGCTGTAGGGAAGCCTACATCGCTGTTCCAGAAGTTTCTGGAAATCCAACCTTGGCTCAACAGCGATGTCTAATGTCCAACATCGCTGTTGGAAGACTTAACGCCAAACCATGTTTTTAGCTACCCAGGCCAGACAGCGCTGTTGGTTACCTCAACATCGCTGTTGGGCTGGTTTAGCCAGACCCATGGTTGGTTTAGTCACGCCGTTAGCCGATGTCAAAAACGCAAGTTCTCCAAAATAAAAACCAAGTTTAGAAAACATTTGTTTATTGCATTTTGCTAAGAAATCAAGTAAAACATCTTGAAAACCACGTCATTTAGTTGAAAACCACGGCTAGCCAAGTTCGCGCCGTTTCGCATGGTTTTCACTCAACGATAAAAAACGGAAGGTGGTTTTTGAGGCGTTTTTGTTGGAGAACTAATTAAATGTGCCCAATAGTAAAACCCAGTCATAAAAAGTTGAAAACCACTTGGTTGGTTCGGACGCCAAAAACCAATGCCGAAAACTGAGAGCCGAACGCCGGTTTCTGAAAACCGAACGCCGGATGGCTTGGTTTTTGGTCTTGGGCGAACTCAAAGTGTTTTTGGGTAGATTAAAACTTATGAAAAACATTTTTGAGTTTGTAAAAAGAGTTTTGATGAAATGAGCCTAGAGAGCCAAGTTTTGAAAGTTTGTGCCGGTCTTGATCACATTAAGACCGACTCAATACAAATCTAATTCTTCGTTCTTGATTCTGGATTCTTGGTATTCAAAACATCATGCCAAGTTCCTTCGCCTTGGTTTTTGTTCTCTTTAGCCTTGTTATGTCACGGCGGTTTGGCATTATCAAAACCTGTCATAGAAACGAACACAGTTTAGTACGACGTAGGCGTAAACTTGTGTTCCAACAATTTCCCCCTTTTTGATAATGGCAAACAAGACGGGGATATGCATACTAAGGGATGTTTGTTTTTCAAAAGGTTGTGAAAAAGTTCCCCCTCAATTTGTGCTGAAAAAAAATTGTTGGATTAAGATCAAACGGTCTCGTTTATAGAGACGTTCCCCCTTAGTATATGCATAGCCCTTTTCTTCCCCCTTTTGACATTAACAAAAAGATGATTTTATTTATTAAAGGAAATAGTGGAGTACAACGGAAGCATTAAAAAAACAAGATAATTAAGGTAAAAGAGATAGAAATTCTAGGGGAGTCCTAGTCTTCGTCTTCGGTTTCCTCCTCGTCGTCGTCGACGTCCATCTCATCCCCATCGATGGCATCGTCGAACTCATCTTCATCCGGGGAGATTGACGGGGCGTAGGAGTCATCGGCTTCGTCTTCGTCACCGTACACTTGCCCAAGGAACGTGCCGTGGAACGGTGGGGGGACGTAGTTGATGCCTTGGAAGTACGCGTTCATGGCGTACCCTTGGCGTTGAACAGCTACGTCGAGCCGTTCAAGGTAGCCTCCCATCCCGTCAACTTTGAGGTGGAGCCGGTTGAGGGAGTCAGCGATGGAGGCAAGGTTGGCCCGGGCCTGTGGTTCGGCTGGGCCAGCGGCAGTGGCAGTGCGGCGTGGATGGGCAGTGGCAGCCGCGGCGTTGTCCGACCACTTGATGAAGGTTTGGTTGCTGATTGTCCAAATCTTCATGGCCTTCGTGAGCGGGCCAACGGTGGTGGTTACCTTGAACCGTTCAAGGATGTCCATCACCAAAAATAGGTACGGGAGGAGGTGGTCGTGCTCGGTGGACGCGGCAATCGTCATGTTGATCATGACGAACTTTGCCCAATTGATTGGGGCCGAATGCATGATCGCATGGATAAGCTTGAGGTCTTCACCGTGCATGATGGTGTGGCCGTGCTTCCGGGGTTTGATGATCCGGGAGACGATGTAGAGGACGAGGCGGCCTTTGGGGTTGGCGGAGTGGATGGTTGGGCGTCCCGAGGCATGGCGTTTGAGCTCGGTGATGCCAAGCTCGTTGAGGATAAGGCCCTCGTTGTTGAGCACCCAATCCTCTCCACCATAGTGAGACACATCGTCGCCTTGGAAGGGGAGGCCGGCGATGCGCCCAAGCTGCTCCACGGTGAGCTCGATCGGCGTGCTCTTGACTAGCGAGTAGAGCACGTCGTCCTCACGCCGGAGGTTGGAGTAGAAGGCCCGGATCAGCGCCGGGTTGATCTCCTTGCGTGCCCGGGAGACGAACGGCCAAAGGCCGGCTTGATGAAGCTGCGCGTCGAGGTCGTCGTAGCCCTGCAACTCCGGGTAACGCTCCGGGATGATTCGTGGGGGAGCCACAACCCGTTTAGAGAAGAAGGTGAGGAAACGGGTGCGCTCCTCCTCGAAATCAAACCAAAGGTATGACCCGTCGCCATAGTAGAGGCGCTCCTCGGAGGATGACGTAGGCGCCCTGGATTTGGACTTTGATTTCCCGGAGGTGGCGGCCCTGCTCTTGTCCTTGCCCATGATGAAGAATGGAAAAAAAATTGTAAGTAGAGTGAGATATGCAAGAAGTATGGAGAGAATTTGTGTTTGTGTGTGTAAAAATGAGGAGTGGAGGCTCCAATTTATGGAAAAGGAGGCCTCCAACGTCCAAAATTTCAAAAAATATGACTGTTGGAGCAATAAATGAGGAAGCAACGGAACTTTTTTTTGAAAATCTTGACCAGAACAGCGATGTTCTACTGGCGACATCGCTGTTACGACAGCGCTGTTGTGCCTGGTACAGCGCTGTTCTGCGCCAAGTTTAAAAAAAACTGGAGTTAAACAGACAGCGATGTTGAGTGCCCTACAGCGATGTTTCAAAAGTTTCTGGAATTGTGAAAGGGTTTGAACCCATTTGAACAGCGTTGTTGGGTGTCTATACATCGCTGTTTTGCAATAAAGAAAAAAAATTGTAAAAGAAGGACATCGATGTTGAGAGTAAGACATCGCTGTTTAAAAAGTTTCTGGTTTTGGTAGAAAACAAAGTGTTTTGGGTAGACAACGATGTTTAAAAAAGAACATCGATGTTCAAAAAGTTTCTGGAAAGTGAAGATTTAAGGGACTCCCTGGGACAGCGTTGTTGGCTTGTTGTACAGCGCTGTTGGGAAACTTTCTGGCTGACGGTGTTTCCCTCAACAGCGCTGTTGTGTCTCCTGGACAGCGCTGTTTGCATGGTTCCCCCTGATTTCATGAACGGGGTACCTGCAAAAAAGAAAAAGTTCTCCGACGCTCAAGTTAGTAAATGTTTTAAAAAAAATTAGATGCACAACTTAGATCATCGTGGAGTCAAGGATTCCGAGTTCACTTCGAATGCGGAAGAACGACTCTTTCTCTAAAGGTTTTGTGAAAATGTCGGCTAATTGGTTGTGTGTTTCAACAAACTCAATTTCGACATCACCTTTGAGAACATGATCTCTAATGAAATGATGCCTAATGTCAATGTGTTTCGTCCTTGAGTGAAGAACGGGGTTCTTCGTCAAGCTTATGGCGCTAGTATTATCACAACGAAGAGGGACGTGATTGATACTAAGGCCATAGTCCACGAGTTGTTGCTTCATCCACAGGATTTGAGCACAACAACTGCCGGCGGCTACATATTCCGCTTTAGTTGTGGATAACGCAACACTGACTTGTTTCTTACTAAACCATGAGACTAGGGAGCTACCAAGTAAGTGGCAAGTCCCACTCGTACTTTTACGGTCTAATTTGCAACCGGCAAAGTCCGAGTCGGAATAACCAACGAGATGACATGAAGAGCCTTTTGGATACCACAGTCTAACGTTAACCATGCCGACAAGGTATTTCATGATCCGTTTCACCGCGGTTAAGTGCGATTCCTTCGGAAACGATTGATACCTTGCGCAAAGGCAAACGCTAAACATGATATCCGGCCTACTAGCGGTAAGATAAAGAAGGGATCCGATCATACCTCGATACTTTTTGACCTCTACTTCCTTACCTTTCTCGTCTTTGTCAAGATGGTCAGGCGTGCTCATCGGGGTCGCCATGGCTTTGCCGTTGTCCATTTCAAACCGTTTTAGGAGCTCCTTGCAGTATTTAGCTTGGCAAATGAATGTACCATCTTTCATTTGCTTAACTTGGAGTCCCAAAAAGAATGTGAGCTCGCCCATCATTGACATTTCAAATTCGCTAGTCATTAGCGTTGAGAATTCCTTGCACAAAGACTCGTTAGTAGCACCGAATATGATGTCGTCTACATAAACTTGAACAAAAAGGATGTTATTGTTTTTACTCTTGATAAAAAGTGTGGTGTCTACCTTTCCCCTTTGGAAACCGCTATCCAAAAGAAATTTGCTCAAACGTTCGTACCAAGCACGCGGTGCTTGTTTAAGACCGTAGAGCGCTTTCTTGAGTTTGAAGACGTGATCGGGAAACTCAAAGTCCTCAAACCCTGGGGGCTGGTCAACATACACTTCCTCTTGAATAAAACCATTGAGGAAGGCACTCTTAACATCCATTTGATAAAGTTTAAAATCCATAGACGAAGCAAAAGCAAGAAGTAAACGAATAGCTTCTAAACGTGCTACAGGTGCATAAGTTTCTTCAAAATCAATGCCTTCTTCTTGATTGTAGCCTTTAGCTACGAGCCTAGCTTTGTTTCTAGTGATTATTCCATTTTCATCAAGTTTGTTACGGAACACCCATTTCGTACCAATAATCGTACGATCATCGGG